TTGGTTATTTCTGCGTGCTCTCTCTCTCAAACACACCCCTCATTCATTCATATCATTCTGATTCCACTTATGGTATTCCTGCAGTCTCCACTCTAAAATTAGTAAATAACCTCTCTGAGTGCAAACATTCCACCTTGCTGCTGTTCAGACCTGTGAGGCTCAAGCAATACAACCCAGGACTCGCCCTACACACTTTACACGGGGCAGAAGCCATTCCTGAGTGCAGTGGGAGAAAGGGGTAGCTTCTCTTTAGGCCTCTCTCATAAATGTTGACAAGCTTCTGAAAAGTATTAAAGTTGTTACTGCTCAAATTGGCCCTCTTGGTCAAAAACATCTAAAAATTCTTACTAAAAATCTAATACCTCAGCCCCATTACTTCAAAACATTTTTCAGAATAGAAATTTGCAAGGTTTTTAAAAACCATCAGCCTACAACCTTTTTTTTTTTGGTTAACTCTCACCTGAGGATATGTTTTCCATTGATTTTTAGAGAGGGAGGGAGGGAGGAACATCGATGTGAGAGACACATCAACTAGTTGCCTCCTACATGCATCCTGAAAGGGGTCAGGGACCAAAACCTGCAACCCAGATACGTGCCCTTGACAGGGAATGAAACCCATGACCCTTCAGTCCCAGGGCTGATGCTCTAACCACTGAACCCACACTGACCAAGGCAATCTACAACTTCTTAATGTTCAACAGCCATTCCTTCCGAGTCTTGAGCTCATTCTCTCTTGTGTATACAAACTAAAAACACTTCTCAATGAATCTTTCAACTTTTCTGTAGGCCCATCTAAGATGGATTTCTGCCATACTTGAGGCCTTTCTTGTTTTCAGTTGGGAATACTGGAATAACTCAATGGTTGCTAAGAAGTTCAAACAATAACAGAACATTGGGAAGTCTAAGGGCCTACAGAAAAAACTCAACCAAGATAGCTAGAGAACACTGGACAAATTCTGTTTACAGCCCTGGTCGGTGTGGCTCAGTGGTTAAGAGCACTGGCCTGTGCACAGAAGGGTCTCAAGTTTGATTCCTAGTCAAGGGCACTTACCTCAGTTGTGGGTTCACTCCACAGTCGGGGTACGTGCAGGAGGCAACCAGTCAATGTGTCTTTCTCATGTCGATGTTTCTCTCTCTCCCCCGCTCCCTACAGGCCTTCTACTCTGACAACTGAAAAAAATATCCTCAGGTGAGGATTAACAACAACAACAAAAAATTCTGTTTTTGCACTCTTTTCCTATTTCCAAATTCGTCTCTGACGACTTGAGAGGGATAGGGAAGTACAGAATGCCAAAGGGCACAAAAACGGTAGATACAAGGTCTTCAGTGGAAATCACTTCATGGTCTTCTAAAGCAATCTGAAGAACAGAGACAAAGGTAGTAACACTGGCAAAACAATGACTTTCCAGTTTTTCCCCCTTTTTAAACTGCTTCACTTCAACATACACAAGCATCAAATATCAATAGCAGTGAAGGCTGTTTCTCACTATCAATGGCAAGAACTTCCATTCAACTTCCACAACCTCATCTCTGTATATCAAGTTTCCTCAGCTGCTTCCAAGTTAAACCTATATCCTCTGTTTAGGACCCCTTCACAATAGAAACAGCTTTAGGTTGTCTAATATTACTATCTGTCCTTGACTCAGCAATAGACTACTTACCAGAGCCAAAATAGCTCCATAAAATTTTGAAGTTACAGGAACTGAAAGAACAAAAAAAGAGTAAAAAGTAACTTCCAGCCTGGCCAGGTGTGGCTCAGCGGTTGAGCATGGACTTAGGATCCAGATCAGGATCCAGATCACGGTTCCATTCCTAGTCAGGGCACATGCCCGGGTTTCAGGCTCGATCCCCAGTCCGGGGTGTGCAGGAAGCAGCTGATCAGTGACGACTCTCTCATCATTGATGTTTCTTTCTTTCTCTCCCTCTCCTTCCCTCCCTCTGAAATCAATAAAGATATATTTAAAAACAAAAACAAAAAACTTCCATGGGGAGAATATGGGAAAAATAAAACACATACAGTATGTCTTAAAGACACTGGATCTAAAGATATTTCTATTATTTGAATCAATAACACACTTAGTATAATTTTGATTGTTTGGAATATTTCTATAATTAATGAGAATGGCGATATGATTTCATTTTTAATTTTTGTCATATTACAAGTTTCAAAGAAAACTAAAGTTATATAAGTCTTTAGGAATATTAAGCCAAGCTTTTCAAACTATAGTTGGTAAGAGTTTTCTCCCCTTCCCTTACACTCAAGCTAAAGGAGTAAGTTATTTTCTACTAGCGAAAAAAAAAAAATTGCATAAAATTGCCCAATGATTTTTCACTGAAATAGTATAAATGCTAAATTACCTCAACAAAAGTTCAGCAAGACAAGTTTGAGGGAAATCAGAAACAATTTTTTTTTAAATAGCAACTTCTAAAAGATGAGAGTAACTTATTTTGGTTTTTCCATCTAACATTATTGTTTAATTAAAGTTTTATCTTTCATTGTCACTGCTTTTGGAAAAATCTGTGGCAGAGTGAGAGACAGCTTCCCTAAGCCACTAAGCTTTAGCCCTAGACAACATCAATCGAGAACTGTCCACTGTCTTGAAAGGGTAACACTTTGGTAACTAAATACTGTGCCACCCTGTATTAAGTGTAGTGATGTTGCTGGAACACTGATGTAGAAGGTCAGGAATCTGTTAGATTCCCACCTCAAATAATGGCTAGCTTTGTAATTATGAACAACTAATTTAACCTAAGCCTCAAATCCTCATCTGCATAATGATAAGGCTAAACTAGATGATTTCTAATATTCTTTTCAGGCATAATTCTATCTTTATCATACTTATCACTCTCATTATATATTTCAAGAATTTCATTGATTCATCAAACATTTATTGAAAGTACCTACCCTGTCCCTGGCATAGATACTATCCCTGCCCTCACTGAGTTTATATTTTAATTGTCCCATTATGTATTAGAAAATGTGTATTTAAGTTTAGTCCTAATGGGATAAATAAGAATGACTTTAAGTTGCTTATTTGGCTTAGGATTAATAAAATAATGCATTTATAGGTTAGTATGAAACTCTCTACATTTGATATTGCTCATAAAATAAGGATGTTAAAATATTTTGTCTAACGAGAATTTATTAGACCTGCCACCAACATAATGCCCTTAATTTCAACCAATTACCAATATACTTATGCACCATTTGTAGGCAATAAAAACAAGAAGGCCCATGAAAGTCAAAAAGGTATGATAAAGTCAGCTTGGGTGGGGGGGAAGACTCCCAGTCCAATCTCCAACACGAAAACAAGACTGAGTAACAGCAGTCTGTGCTGATCCATCCTTGTCAACTTTTAATCCTTCTGACTGATGAAAGCATGAGACATCTGTTTATTTTTAAGTATATGCAGGCAGCTGGCTTCCCTATTTTCACCTTTCTTTGTACAAGTGTACAGAATTCATCAAATGCTTAATACCATCCAGTTCATGATACCGACCTTCAAGAAGATTAAGTCCTAGAAGGAAGGTATAAAAAAGTAAGGCAGAATATGATGTTATAGTAGTCAAAAACGTCAAGTACTCAACACAGTGCTCCCTGTTAAGACAAAAGTAAATAAAACTGAGAATTATAGGAAAGGAACAGAAAAGAAAGAGAGAAAGAGGACAGAGAACATTTACTCGTCGCTTAACAGGTGCTAGGTACTGTGCAGGTAGCTTTCGCTTCTCCAGACCTCTAACCAAGAAAATAACCCAAACAGATGACCATCTACAAAAAGGAAAATCCACTCCCTTTCACAAAACCATTCCAACTGCCTAAGAGTGACTTCTAACCCAAAGACACAGTTCGTGTAAAATCACTCTACTTAGAATCATAGTAATTGGAAACTGAAGGGGTCTTAGATCACCTAGGCCACCCACTCATTTTACCAACGTTGAAGCACAGGCCAGACAAGACGAGGAGCTTGGCTAAGGTCATCCCTGCTTAATGGCAGAACTGGGATCCAACCAATAATCATGGCATTTCATCTATCACTCTGGAGCGACTGTTGGTAAAATTTAGTGATTCATTTTCGCTCCTCACTAAGTTACTCAACACCTATTAGCACTTCTATTAAAATAATCATAAAAATCCGTCCACACAAATGGCTCAGAACCTCCAAATAATAATGTGCTGTTTCCTACCAAGTATTTCGAACGCTCCCGATAAGCAGCCACCTGCCTTGCACACCTGCCTCCTCCCTGCGGCCCTCATGAAGCTGTAAAGCGCGGTGTGTCCAGTGAGAACCGGGTCGCTGAGGTCGATGTCTCAGGAAACCCCGGCGCCGGAGATCCCGCCCCCGGCGGCCGGTTCGCACCGCACGAGCCCGGCGGGAGCACCGCGGGTGAGTGTGCAGTACGGCGGCTCCCTCGCCGCC